GAGAATATTTTTTTCATGACTATTAGATTTTTTTGACACGCCTTAAATACGAGATTGGAATATTCAAAAAAAATTCATGATTTTTTATATACAGGAGAAATTAAAAATAACAAAGATATATCTTCAGTATAGATAAATATATTGATAAATATATTTTATCTTACAAAATTTAATTTGCATGATATTTAGACTAAATGCAGATAATTTTTTAGAAATGCCACTTTTCAAAAATGTTATCATTTTGAAATTTTCTTTAAAATGCCACTAATCCTCTATATATTAATTGAATAAACATTTGGTGAAAAATCATATGTATTATTCAATAAGAGTTTTAAAGAATATGTCATTTAAATTAACTAATGAAAATATTTTAATTGAAACTATATGTTATGGTGGAAATCTCTATATGTTTTTCTTAATTTTATAACATAAACCCATTAATATATATTTTACAGAGTTAAGTTTAACTAATTGTAATATTTAGACTTACTATATCATCTATTTTAAAAAAAAAATTGATATATTAAAAAGCTTATTATTATTATATTTGTAACAATATTATTTATTTGTAGATGATAACTACACTTACAAATATTTTAACATTTTATTATTAGAAAACATATATTTTTTGTTTGTTATGTCCGAAAATTTTATATAAATCTAAAAATTATATAATCTATACTTTATTTGATATATCGCATACTCTACTATTTACACAAATAATAAAACTCAATTTGACATTTCAAATAAATTGAAATAAATAACATTTGCATTAGTTTTAATATTTTATGAAAAATTGATCAAAACATATGAAATTGAAATATGTTTAGTAAAAATTTAATTTTATTATATTTATGCACAATACATATCATTTTGTATGTTTATAAATATTAGAATACACATATAAATATTAAGATCGATTAAAAAATATATTTCAATATTTAATCTCACGCTTGGCGTGGATCAAAATCTAGTGTACAACTCTTTAGAAATCCGATCCTATATTAATTCCCTTCCTTTATCTGGATTCTGGACATTCGTAAATCAATTATTAATCCAATTTACCAACGATTTTTAAGTAT